TCGAATGTACAGTAGCAAGGTATGTACATTTATTCTAAAATTGATGAAAATCCATGGGATAATTTTAAGCAGATGACTGATGGTCCATCTTTATTTTTCTAATTTATTTTTATTATTTGTTTATTTTTTGTGTGGATCATGTCTCTTTAGTTTGTCCAGGCCGGTCTCCAGCTCCTGGGCTTATGTGATCCTCCTGCCTCAGGCTTCCTAAGTGCTGGGAATATAGGAGAGAGAAACCATGCTTGGCCAGTATGGTACATTTTATATTTTAGGACAGTGAATGTAACAACTGAGTAAAGAAAGAATTGAGGAGAATCAATAAACATACAACAAACAGGGAGAAGTTCATTCATATATCAATTAGCTTCTTCTTGAACAAAGGTTCATTGAGCAGCAGACATATTAAAGAATCTATGCTAGCCACAGGGATACAATCATGAACAGGAAAAATTCAGTCTATGTCTTTAAAGGTCTACAGTTGAGAAAGTCAGAGAGATAGTGAACTAGTGAGACTAAGTCTGATGAATGCTAAAAACGAACAGATATAAAGAGTTCACTGAGAGCACAACACAGTAACTTGAAGACCTATCTAAATATATAAAAGATGGGCACAGTGAGATTTAAGTATAGGTAGAAATAAAACAGGTAGAAGTGAAAAAGAATGTCCCAGTGTCTTTTCCTGTCTACAGAACAAGAAAAGAACTTAAAGAAAGAAATAAGCAGCATCCACAGAATCATACTGTGAGAGGAGAAATAATGAGAAAAGAAACTGGAGAAATAAGATGGGAAGAATTTATAATGTTTCCTAAAGTTAAAATAACACTGTGCTAGGAAGGCTAAATTAAAGAAAATAAAGGAATGTAGAGTAGTTTATTAAAAGATTGGACTGGGTTAGACAATGATTTTCTTTGAAGTAAAGGGAAGAGGTAAAGATATTTTTATATTGAAATCAACAAGAAGGTAAATTGGTAACTGATTAAAACTGGAAAGGATTAAAGTTTGATTTTCTTCTTTCTGATTGTGATTAGAAGAGGAGCAGAACTAGTTATGGAGTTGTAGATACAAGAGGGATGTTGAGCTCAGGTTAGAACATGCTGAGTGTGAGAAAGACAAGCTGAGAAGGGCTCAATAAAATATGAGGTCAGAAGAATGATACCTAGATATAAAATTTATATTTTAGGGCAGTAATGAGATTAAATCTTATTAAATCTGCTGTTCTGCTATTATTTTTATTAATTAAATATAACCTATTATTTCATATATATATATTATATATACTCACACACAGATACATACATGCAGAGAGAGACTTTAAGAAATTGGTTCAAAGTGATTTTAGAGGCTGGCAAATTTGAAATCTACAGTGCAGCCAGGATGCTGAAAATTCAGGTATGAGTGAACGTTACAATTCTGAGTTCAAAGCCTGGAAACTCAGACAGAATTTCTATAGTGCAGTCTGGAGACAGAATTTCATGTTCTTTTCGAATCCTCACTCTCTGCTCTTAAGGCCTTCAACGGATGCGATGAGACCCACTCATATTGTAGAGTGTAATCTGCTTGACTTAAAGTCAACTAATTTTCAATGTTAATCGCATCTAAAATTATGTATATATTTACAGTAGCATCTAAGCTGGTGTTTGATCAAACAGCTGGGCACTAATTTAGTGAAGTTGAAATGTAAAAATTAACCCTCACAAGGGCACACGATAATAGAAGAAGGAAAAAAGATATCTTAATCCACAGAGAGAAATAATGAGGCCTTGAAAGAAAAAGTGCTCAAACTCGTTGAAGGTCAAGTAGCTCAAGCATTAAAAAGCATCCTTTGAACTGACTTTTGCTACTGAGCAATAATAAGGGGTTAAAGAACCAGAATTAAAAGCCTGATATAAGAAATGAGTATATTTGAGAGATCTTATTTGGTA